TTTTGGATTAGTTGTAAGAATTAGTTCTAACCCATCAAATAGGGCTGGTTCTAAATCATATATGGCTCCAGAAGTTATTAAACAAATTCCATATAATGAGAAAGTTGATGTTTGGAGTATTGGATGTGTTGCTCAGGAGTTGTTTGAAACACAACCCCCATATAAAGAACATGGGGTAATTAAAGGAATGTTTAAAACAGCAGTGTATGGAGCAGAAGGTTTAAGAGATATAACTAAAGCACCAGTTGATTTTGTAGATTTTATTAATAAGTGTTTTGTTTTTGAAAGTAAAGATCGAGCTTCTTGCACAGAATTATTAACGGTTTGTTTAATTTTAATTTTCTTATAGATAAATTATACTCATTTATAGTGTTCATTTTTCAATTTGTCTAATAAGTCTAAGTATTTTCATTAATGTTAGTTTGTATAATTTTGAATTATTCATTTTTCTTTTCAGGTTTGTTTTATTTCCTGTAAAAATGATTCAATCATCAGATTTTATCTTGTTTATTATTAAAGAAACTTTAAATAATCCTTTTCAAAAAAAAAATTAATAAAAATAAAAATGAAAGAAAAAAATTGAACTTCTAATAAAAAGACAATGTCAGTTTGCGGTTTTTACTATTTCTGAAATTAAAAGATAACTTATAATTGTTTTTAGTGCTGTGGAAAAGATACAACTCAAAGACAACAACCAACAGCACTAGATGTTGTTGATGCTGACACAATCTCAAGTAATACTTTTAATGAGTCATCTATCGATTATATTTTTAAATTTATTATTATTGGAGAATTTTCTGTAGGAAAGACTTGTCTCTTGATGAGGTTTCAAGATGGAACTTTCAGAGAAGAGTATGAGTCAACTATTGGAGTTGAGTTTGGAACGAAAAATGTTCAGATTCAAGACACTATAATAAAACTCCGTATTTGGGATACTGCTGGTTCAGAAAAATTTAGGTGCATTACTAGAGGATATTTCCGAGGGTCTGTTGGAGCTATTATTGTTTATGATATTTCAAATAGAAACACCTTTGAACATATTGATGAATGGGTACAAGAATTAGAAAAATATAACCCAGGGAATCATGTTCTTATGATCATTGGTAATAAGTGTGATTCTTCTCAACGTACAGTTACAACAGATGAAGGTAAGAATAAAGCCAAAGAATTAAATGCTGAATTTTTTGAATGTTCTGCTAAAACAGGGGAAAATATTGAAAGAGCATTCCTGACATTGACAGAATTAGTATTAAGAGATGTTAGTTCAGGAAAGATTTCATTAGAGAATAATTAAATAAAAGAAAGGTCTAGTTTATTCAATTGACTCCAAGACATCTCTGTCTTGTTTTGAATAGAATTAATCAAAAAAACAATATTTTTAATTTGAATGAGAAAGCAAAGAATAATTTTTTAAAAGAGGTTTATGTTATTTTTTTTTTATGTTTCAATGTATTAATTAAAAATAAATTGAAAAGTTATTCTAACAAGTGGTTTGTTCGTATCTATAATTCATTAACATTGATTATAAACCAAAGTCTTCAAGATTTAATTATTTGGAAAATGAAATAATGACATTAATAATTAATATCCTTATTTTGTTAATTTATCATTTATTTTAGAATATTATTTAATATATTTTTTATTCTGGTTAATGATTTAAAATAATTATGAATTATTAAAAGGTATTTAATAATATCAGTGAATGAATATTAAATTATTTTGTGTTTTACTATCTTCTTTATTTTTGAGACTAAAAGTTGTTTCTCATATTTATTCAATTTCAATAAATAGCTATTTTCAATATAGTGGATTTGGTTAAGTTATTTACAATGATACAAAACATTCATCATTTAATTCATTTAATCATAGAATTGAACAAGTTTCTTTCAGCTCCAAACAATTTAATATTTAATATTATTTCTATATGGTTATTATATGTATTTTATGTACTATTTCATTATTTCTTTGTTTGTAATTAATATAAATGAATTGGCAATAGCAATAAATATGCCATAAGTTAATGGTGTGTGTCAGTCAGAAAATCCTTGTATTAGGTTAAAGAGTAATTGTAAATTATTTATTTAAAACAGAAAAAGGAACAAAATACAACATAAAAGTAAAAAGTACAATTAGAAAAAAAGTAGTTGGAATTGAAGTTGGTTATAATAAAAGATTATAGTGTGTTTTTCTAGAAGAGGAAATTTGTAGTCAACACATAACTTTAAAAAATGAAATTAAACTAGCACTTATCTTTGGAAAATGTTTGAGTGACATTCAAAATAAAGAAAAAAGAAGATTATCATTTATGTACCAAATGAAATATATTATAGAAGTAAAAGAAACATATTAGTAGCAACACAACTTGGAGGAATGAAAAATTTTTGAGGTAGTTAGTAAAGTAGTTTCATTGTTTTTATTTTTGAAAAACGACAATAACTTAGAAATGAAAATTATGACAATTATTAAAGGGGAAACTAAAGAAGAAGTTAATATTAGTTATGTACTTGTAAATAGACAAAACAATACAAATAATTGTAATAGTTGAAAATAAAATAATAAGGAATGAAAATCAAGAAAAAGCTAAACAGAAAAATTATAAGAATAATAATATTAAGTCAACACGAATATAGAGAGAATAAAATAATTTCATTTATTGGTAGTGTTTATTGAATTACATCAAAAGAAATTAAAAGATATTGATTTAATGAATTTGAAATAACAAAATAAGAAATATATAAAAACTATGTTGTAATGTTGCAAGGGATGATTCAATAAAATAATATTGAGTAATATAAATTAATACAGTAAAGAGAAGTTATTAAAAAGACAAATTTTTTAACATAGTATAGTTGAATGGCAGAATAATGAAAAGTATAAAACATAAAAAGAATGAAATTATGACAAAACTCAATAATAATGTCAGTGTGCTTTGATGATATTAATGAATTTTATTAATGTAGAAATTGTTGTTAAAGTGTTTCAATGAAATATGAATAATTTCATTTTTAATTCATAATGTCAGAATAATTGTTTAAGAAGGTTATTTCATAATATTGAATCATATCACATTTATAATAAAAAATGAATTGTTTGAAGTTTGAAGAATAAATAAAGAAATAATATTATCCAAATTTAATTACTAAAAGAATTGAAAAGAAAAGGAAGAATTGAAAATAATAAAGTATGATATATAAAGTACGATAGAAGTACTGAATTAAAATATAAATAAAAGTTGATTCATGAGGTGTTGAATTTCTTTAAATACTGTAGTTCATTAAAATCAATTTCTATATCAACTACAATTAGTGAAATGTGAAATGGATGTTTTATTGATATTAAACATTAAAATGAGTTTAATTTCAACTAATATAATTTATAGAATTTGAGAGAGTTATTTTATTGATTTCGTTTTGAATAGGAGTTAGTATTGAATGAGTGATTAGCAGAAAATATCTCTGTAGAATGAAGGATTTGAAACAAAAAATAAATAGAATGGATTAAAAATTGTATTTTAATTGAAATTATTTTAATATTATTTTATCTTTACTGCTTAATGTTTGTGATTGTTATGTATTATGATATTTGTACTGATTAGTAGAATTTATTCATTAAATTGTAATTATATATAATGTATTTATTTAAAACATTCAATACTTGTTGTATTTATTATTGTCATTAAATAATGTTTACTCTCGATTTATATCAAAGCATAGACTTGATAGTATCATTGTAATAATAGACATTAGCTGTCAATGTTTTGAAGCTATTTTACTTATATATGAATTAGTAATTTTTTTTAACAAATAATGAAAATGACCAAATAAAACAATAGAAATGATGTAAACAATGAACATTTCTATTTGGTTCAATTGAACATATTCTCAAACTAAAAATGAATGAGTTTATTTTATTGATTAGAAATATTTATTTAGTCATAATGTTGTTGAAAGACAGAATTAAATTGGATTTTTATAACAACTATATTAATGATAAACATATTCATTGTCATTGAATAAAACTTGTTTATTTCAAAGAAATGACTGTAGACAAAATAATCCAAGAAATTTTAAACAAATAATAAAACTAGTTAAAAAAAATCCAAAAGAAACAAAGTTTGTAGTACCAACTAACCCCTATTAAAGTAACATTGAATAAGACAAAATATACACAAATTCTATATTAAAAGAATATACAAATAATACTAAAATATTTTTGATCAAAAGCAAAGAAACTTAAATCTACTAATGATAACAAGATGAATTTGTTTTAAGAAAAGTTGACAAATGAGTGTTAGAAATGTGAAATTAAGAACTAAAATAATATAAAAATTGTTTAATTAATTCATTGTATAGAAAAAATAACCATTATATAAATGAGTGGTGTAGTTAAGTTTTATCAGAGATAAATTCACTTAAATTTATAAAATAAGCAAATGAGGAATTAGAATAGAATTTTGTTAAAAAGTATGGATAAAGAACATGTTATCATAATATCTGTCATTGAAAATAAAGACTATTAATTCAATAACATAAAGAATCGTTTAAATATAGTATTTTTCAAGTTTATTAATTTCATTTTATTGTAAGTAATGTTCATAAAGAGATGAAAGTTATTGAAGAACAAAATTAAGAATAATTTAACAATGAAATATGCCACATATTAATAAATACAACGTAAATGAAATAAAATGAAATAAAATGAAAACGACACCATAACTTTTCAATGAAAAAGATATTAATAATTGTATTGGTTATAGTAGTATTAAATGAATAATTGAGTCGTTGAAAATAAAACATATGTGAAAATTTCATAGTTGTAATAATTATTTTCATTAATTTAAAACAATGAAAACATACTCTCGAATGATGAAACACATATGCTTGTTTATAGTGTTTGTGCAGATGATACTAATAAGATATTCATGAATTAATGCAAAAAATTCATTTCTTAAATAATTTCAAAAAAGTAAAGAATAGCCATTTAATTCAAAAATTTGAAAAGCAGTCGTAGTTTAGGTGGTAAAACACTTTCTTACTTTGTTAAAGAATCGAACTTGTTAACAAAACGTGAGGGTCGAAGGTTCAACTCCTTCCGATTGCATTTTATTTTTATTTATTTTTTGAAATATATAACAATAAAATTAACAATAAAAATACTATAATGAAACTAAAGAAAAACAACTATGAAATTATTATAAAAACT